TCATCATAGTCAGATCCAAACTTCTGGCTAAATCCTTTTGCGACTAATCTGGCTTTGTATCTTTCAATTTTTCCTTCTGAATTGAGCTTTGTCTTGAAAGACCATTTGCAATCCTATTGGTTTTTCTTCCTTTTGGTAAATCAACAACTAATTCCCAATGTTTGTTTTCTTCTAGTGAATTAATTTCTTCTCGAACAGCTGTTAGCCATTTTCTTTTTTCATTTCTTCCAAACTTTGAATTTTCTTCCAAGTTTTGGGTTCGGAGGAGATTGGATATTTGGCTTGGAATCCGTACCGATCAGGAGGTTTACCTTTTGAGAGTCTGTTCGATCTTCTGACTTCGAAAGGTTCTTCTTCGTGTTCTGATATTTCTTTCTCTTTGGGTTCTTCTATTTTTATTTCTTCCCGTTCTGAGCTTTCTTCCTTAGAATTTTCTTCATCCTGGTTTAAATAGATGCTTACAGGCTCCTCAGTTCCAGTGTCTTTAATAAATCGTACAGATCGACTTAATACCTCACTTAATAATCTCACTTGATGCTGCGCTGGATACAAGGTAAGAAGAATCATTTTGCTCTCTATTTTTATTAATTTGTTGTGAAATTTCGAGGCTATAAAATGTTTTACAACAATTATATCTTGTGACTACAGTAAGGATTAATGAACAGCAATAACTTGCTTTAACACACAAAGATAAAACTTATGGGTGAGCAAAGTATTTAAAGTAGGTAGTTAGATACCGTTAGGTATTATAGATTTACACGATCACTATTAAAATTTATTTACTTTTTGTTAAAAATATTTGTTAAAAAAACACTATTGAAATCGTAAACTAATAATATTTTACAGTTTAAAACACATGCAATTTATGATATTGATTCTTAAACGATTAGGATAATTATATACTACTGGCCACTGTAAATGCATCACCCTGAAGGAAGCATGCAAATAACATGAAATTTACAACATGCATTAGCAGAAGTGAGATATGCAAATGATTAGAATTTCAGCACAGACGCACATCACGCACGCCTGTGGCACCACTTCAAAGCGGTATTTAAGGTTTGGAGTTTTCGACAATTTCAAATTCGGCAATAGTGTTTCTCTTGTGGTTTTTTAATTTTGTAATATAATTTTGTCTCCAGGAATTAAAATTCTGTAGCCTTTACTTCTGCTGTCGTAGCCGAAAAGTATTCCTTCTATAGCAGTATCATCCAATTTACCTCTTTTAGATTTATGGATGTAAGCAAAAGCCTTGTACCCGAAAGTCTTCAGATGAGAGAGGTTGGGTTTCTTGTTATTCCATAATTCGTATGGAGTTTCTGCATTTGGTTTTGTAAGCATACAATTCTGTAAATAATTTGCAGTCAGCACTGCTTCTGCCCAGTATCTGTGAGGTTGACCTGAGTCAGCTAAAAGACATCTTGTCATCTCCATCAAAGACCTATTTTTGCGTTCACTTACTCCATTTTGTGCTGGACAATACGGTACAGTAAGCTGGTGATTTATACCATGTTTTATAAGATATTCTTCAAGTTCCTTACTTGTGTACTCGCCACCGTTATCACTTCTTAGCGTTTTTACCTTTCTCCCGAATTTATTGTTTGTAAGAGCAATAAATTGTTTTAGTTTAGAAAAATTACTTCAGTTTTCTTTTTCATTAGGTAAATCATTGTGAACCTGCTGTAATCATCAATAAAAGTTACGAAGTATAGGTATCCACTGACAGACGGTGTTTGTACTGGTCCTAAAACATCAGTGTGAACGAGTTCTAGCGGTTTAGATGCCCTGAATTTCAATTCTTTGGGATACCGAAAATCAGTTAGTTTACATTTTGTGCACTGAATGCATTTGGTATCATGTTTACAATTATTTAGTTTAATTCCTTCGGCGAGTTCTTTGTTTACAAGTTGGCTTGATTGCATCATCGTCATCGCTTCTGTGACCAAGGCGTCTATGCCAAAGTTGAACACAGTTCTCATTTTTGCACTGAAATGCTACATGAGCTGATGGTTCATTATTCCTGTCTATTGGTTTAATTTGGTAAAGATTATTAGTTGCATGACATCCTAGAATAATCTGATCTCCCTTCATGATCATACATTTATTTCCTTTAATCAGAACCGAAAGTCCTTTTTCCGATATTTTCTTAATTGAGATTAAATTCGTTTCTAATTCAGGAGCGTATAAAACTTCCGATAAGAGAACTTCAGTTATTTTTTGTTTAGCATTTAATGTTTTAAAACGGACAGTTCCTATCGCCGTTGATTTAATACATTGCCCATTCGCAGTCATAATATCTGATGGATTTATGGGTTTACATTCCGTGAAATATTTCTTATTATTTACCAGGTGATTACTTGCTCCGCTGTCGAAAATAAAACTCTTGGATGATTGATGTACGGTGTAGTTAATAGACAGAGCGATGCTGTCACGTCTGGATTCGATTTCTGGTGTTTTAATTTTTATTTGTTGTTGATTCATCCCGAGGTTACCCACATTCTTTGCATGGCGTGTTTTAGAATCCGCGTATGTTTTCTTAGAGTTTTGGCGCGGCTCATTTTTTTGTTTCGATTTTAGATGATAACACTCTAATCTAAAATGGTTATTTTTATGACAATATGAGCAAAACTTTTCTTTGTCTTGTTTCGAAATGAGGCTTTAAATGCCTTTGAATCTGATAAATTATTTTCAACTCTCTTGTTAAATTCGTCAATTAATTTCTCTTTTAAGAATTCTGTATTCAGTTCCGATTCTGCTCTGGCTTCAAGAGCCGTAATGAGCGTATCGTAAGAACTAGCCATTGAACAAAGCAAAAGTGCCGAAACGTGTTCGTCTTTTATGTTCTCACCTATTGATTTGAGTTTATCGACTAACTCCAGTAATGCATTTATATGTGTTTGCATATTTCCGTCTTCTTCAAGCTTCAAACTGTAAAGCTTTCGCAAAAGAAATAGTTTACTTGAAAAATTAGACCTTTCATGGACCTGCTTGAGCTTTTCCCAGGTGGCTTTAGCAGAAGTTCCATGTTTAATGTGAATTATTTGGCTGTCTTCGATAAATAAATTTATCATCGCGCGACATTGCCGATCCCGTTTACTCCATTGTTCTGTAAAGGGGCTTGGAGGTACATCTTCGATTACATCGTAAAAATCCTCCTTTATTAGTAGCATTGGCATTTCAATTTCCATGTTGAGTAATTGCTGGAATTCAGTTTTGCAATTTGCATTTGACTTGAATTTATTTTCGGTTTTGATATGAAACTACAGTTTAGCTTTTACAGTTTTTTTTTATTATTATTATTTAATTAGCTATGATCTTTTCATCAGGACTCATAATCTTTTGTTGTAAAACATTTTATAGCCTCGAAATTTCACAACAAATTAATAAAAATAGAGAGCAAAATGATTCTTCTTACCTTGTATCCAGCGCAGCATCAAGCGAGATCATACCTAATTAACTTGTAATCCAAAAATAGGTGTAGACTGAAATTGTAAGATCACAAAACACATTCTTTATTAATACATGAAAAATAGATAAAAATTTGTTAGTATTCTAAACACATATTGAAAAAGGGAGTTCACTGTCCTTTCCTGAAGGAGTGAGAAAAGTAAAGTATAGAGAATAAATGTGTTACACAGTTAACTCTTTTGCAGGGTTTCCAGTTCATACAGTTTATCGGGCTATTGGCGACAGTCCATCACTATATGCATACCAACAATAATACAAAAATGTAAAAAATAATGTAAAAAGTATTCCTTACAACTAGTAAGACTTTAAATAATAAAAAACAAATTATCACCTCCTGATGCTTCAGTGGTTTGTTGGAACCTTAAATTATATTAACTGAGTTACAACTCTAGGAAATCTATACAAAACTATGACACTAACTTCGGTCAAACAGACAAATCATAACTAACTTTCAAAAGTTACCAACCATGCCAGCGTCAGGCATTCATGTCTGTTCTGATAAGCAGGTATCTCTAGGAATGCAGCAATCATGGCATTTTCCAGTCTTGTGCTACAGATCATGCTGATTATGATTTTACTTCTTATTTTAACCTATGCCATTTGACATAAAATCTGTCTGCTATTTATTAAGCCTCTAGACTGAATAAGTGCATGACGAAATTAAACTTAAGAGAAAAAATTAGCATAAAGCTAATGGTTTTTAAGACGTAAATAAAATGTCACTAGCCTTCTTTAAAATATATTCAACTAATAAAAGTGTAAAATATTTATTTAATGTTATTTGATAAATTTTACAAAATTTTAGTTATTTTCAAATTTGTTTTATAATTAATTTATTAAATTATGTTTAATATAATGCATCCTAGTTACGGGTCTGTTTTATTCTTAGGATGGTATTACAAAAGTGATGTTCAGGCATAGATTCTTTAATTGAATGATTCAGCTGCATTTGCTGATACGTCCTTAATTTTATTCATTAATGGTCCTTAAAAGTACTTAATTTCCATTTGCAAAAATGTGTACGAACTCTGTATCTGCATCTTCCTCCTGCACATCTACTGGCAGATAATGAAAAGCAACTTTTTTGTAAATCTGTTAAAAATAATTTTTTCATGAGCCAGTCAAATTATGTGAAGATAATATGAATTCTATAATTCCTTTGTATTAACAAGTAAACAAATGCCTTTGCTTTCAAATTTAATTAAGTATCTTACACAATTGCCAATTGAAGATATTTATATCCTTCTGATTTTCTAAAAACTATTTGTTTCATTTTAGTGGACAAAAATTAAAATGATGCTTATAAATGTCAGTCTGTTAACATTTCATCCGTAGGTGATGTTAAGATAAAAGTCTGAGTAAAAGTGAATTTCAGTAATACAGGAGAGCATAAAGTCAGATGTGGCATTATTTTTGCATTTAATTTTGTGCTAGATTTGAGTTACAAATGGGAAGAATTGAATTTTTAACTTTATAGTTTAAATTTTATTGTATATTCTGTTTTAATTTTTAAATAAAAGTATTAATTATAGGTCCTGAAAAGAAAGAGATGAATCAGCATTTTGAATGTGAGAATGGTCATTCCCCTTCAATGTAAGTTCTTTTTTTAATTTGAAATCTCCGATTTATTTAATGCAAAAAGCAGAGTTAACAAAACCTGTGTACGAATTCAAAAGAAAATTCCTTTTATAATTTATTATATCATAAGTATTATTTCTGTCTTAAAAACCTTTTTTTATCTGTGCATTAACACTTGATAAATTCACTTTTATTGATTAAAAAATAGTACTTTGTTGATGATTAATAATTGTAATGCATGAAACATTTTATTGTTAAATTAAAATTGAAAATCAAGTTTAGGAATAAATAAGATTCAGTTGATGTTTTTTAAGCCTAATTTTGCAGTAAAATAGCTACTACATCACATGCTATTTATAGCATGTGATGTAGTAGCTATTTTATGCAGCATTTCATGCTGCATAAAATTGTTATTCGTATAATTTGCCGTAATGATAGCTGTCAGCAGTATTGCTTGTTGGCATATTATGGTCTTGTCCTCCGAATTGCGATTCTTTTAGCTGGATCTTTAATGTAGTCGGGATGCACAGTTACATATACAGATAAATAGGCGGACAATCAGCTGCATATTTGTATCAATAGATTTGAGAATAAATAAAGGGGTACCTAGACAAAGAGATAGGTAGATATATTGTTGATGCTGCTAAATAAGAGACACTGTTTTACATTAATTAATTTATTATTTACAACATCTCTCTCTTACTAATAGAAGTTTAACATACTTTTGATTTTTAATTGTTATCTCTCATGTATATTTTTTTCAATCCAAACTCAAGAACTCATTTTTTACTGTTGCCAAAACTAAATATGAAATACGAGGCGTATTCGGAAACTAAGTACCGTTTTGGAAAAAAAAATACTAAAACAATTTTTTCGAATCCAATTTTATTTTTACATGAAAATACATGTCTTAAACTATTTTTCAACATAGTTTCCGCCAATGATCAAACACTTGTCATAGCGGGTGACCAGTTTTTGTATACCATCGTCAAAGAAACTTCCCACTAGTTTCGATAACCACGACTCCACAGCATTTTTCGTGTCATCGTCAGATCCAAAGTTGCGACAATTCAAGCGGTCAGACACAATTTCGAACAAAACAGTACGTGAAATTTGTGGAAATGCCCCTGAAAGAGTTGTCATTGTGAAGCGTCTGTTCTCATGAATTGCTTCGTCAACTTTCCTTACCAAATCATCGGTGACAACAGAAGGCCGACCACTCCGAGCCTCGGCGTGGACATTTGTTCGACCTGCATTAAACATTCTTATCCACTTTCTCACCATTCCATCACTTATATCGCGTATTTCCCATAAACTTCTGTCACTTAACGATAAATTTCGGCCGGGTTAACATTCCTCATGTTCAAAAATTTAATCATGGCACGAATCTCACAGTCAGCGGGAGAACTAATTGTCTTAAACATTTTGAATGTGCACAGCAAACTGAAAACACAACATAGAGCAACAAAAATGGCGACAATTGAAAGTCAGTGAACAAGAAAGACTTGTGCGCCTGCGCGGGACGCCTACCACAGCGCTGTGACGGCGCTGGAATGAAACGGTACTTAGTTTCCGGATGCGCTACGTACAATGTTGCCAATGAATCGATTTCCTTTAAAAATTATTTAATTGGTAAATAACTTGCATTCATCCCATGAATATAAATAATAACTAAATGATAAAAATGACTTTTCAACACATTTTGTAAAATAAAGTACACTTGTCCTCCAGAATTTTTCTACTTGCTACATTACTTCCCCAACCCGCAAGTCTTTCCTCTCTCACAAAGAAAAAGTTCTCAAAAGAGTTTTTCACTTAGAGAGAACTTCACACATAGTATGAAATCTGTAATGTTATCTTTCAAAATCAAAATCTGTTTTACTTTACAGAGTTATTTGAAAGCAATATTTATACTTCTTATTGTATATTTATTTTATTCTGTGTACCTGTTGACTGCAACAGATGAGCATGTTTGATAGTACACAGGTTTGTCGGGTTTTTTGGGGGGGGAGGAGGACAACAGATATTGAATGTAGACAATCAATATCTCTTGTCTCCCTCCCCTCAATGAATGTAGTACCTGAGTGTTGATTATGAGATTGCCCTACGTGTTGGTGACCATTTCAAAACTTTTTAAGTTAGTTCAAGGAAAGCAAAATATTGCAAAGCAGTTATTTGAAATCCATTCAATGGTAATATAATATTTAATAAGTGTTTGTTCAGTAGGAAAAATTCTATTCAATTTTGGTTTCTACATCTATCAGCATCATGAGGGTTAAATGAAAAAAAAAAAAATTAAGAAATGGAGGCAGAAACCCATGGCAGTTTTTGATGAAATATATTTTATATATCATATATTAATACATCAGCTTATTGCAATCATTTTGCACTTTCCCCCCCAGTATTGATTGTGGATTTATACTGCTAATTGCTAACAGCCAATTAATTGTTTGTTATCTTTACACAAATGAACTAAAAATATATTTATATACTCTGAACTGAGCTTAAGTTACAAATGTTGGAATATGATATTGAACCTTCCAGTTTTATACTTACAGAAATCTATATTGTCAAATATCTTTCAACTAATTACACTAAAACTAAAAATGCACATTAAAACTTGTTAAAATACTAAAAGGAAATCAAATCAAAATGCTTTTCTCATTACATTTTTTCTGTTTTTATCATTTTCATTCAGCATTTTAAAAAGTATTTTCTCTCTCCTTCCTGCATGCCTTTGTGGTGTAACTTTATAGATTTCTTCAGTTTAAATAACGAAAAATTCTAAAAGACTGTACAAATGGCACCCAAACTAAAAGTTGGTGGACCATAATTCATCACCATCAGGATTTGGTGACTGTGTCAACCAATCCCCAGTTACTATAAAAAATTGAGTATATAAGGTATTTTTCCCTCCTTTCCGCATTCCTTCCTGGTGTAATTGGAAGCATGCTCGATGCATATGCAGGAGGTATGGATTTCAAATCCTAACATATTTCTTTAGTTTCTTTGCTTTGAAAAATGTAATGTGACATTTTCCGGAAAATTCCAATCGGGATTTTTTAGCTAATAAGCACTTAGAAACAATTTTGCTGCTAAAGTGCAGAATCGCCCACTTATTTGTTTACCGCTTTTTACAAGGGTTAAAAACTATTGGATTTTTGTCAATTTTCTTTTACTTTTTAAGTCAAAATATCATAAAGTCGAAAATCACGTGTACATAGATAAAGTTAAAGGTGTACTAAGTACCATTTTTAAGTAAAAATCATGTGTACATAGATAAAGGTGTGCTAAGTGCCATTTTTGTGCAGTTCTGGGATTTTTTTTTTAAGTTGAAAATAGGTCAATGTGTACATGGATACCGAGAGTATGTGCAATACTTTAAAAACGCGTCAAGCAATGGGTGATTCTGCACTTTACCCAAAATTCTATTGCCGACTTTTCGTCATGGGCAATTCTCAAATTGTTAAATCCATAGGATATCAAAAAGGATTTAAAAATTAAACTAGTATTTTCAATGGTGTCTTAAGAAATATAGAACTATATAAACTTACGCAATCTGAAATCAGTGCATAGCTAGTTTGGCGCACTGTTAAATGGGCTTTGCTAGATTTGGCACTTTGGCATACATTTCGCTGCAATTTTTATGCCTAAAGGAATAGTCCAAATTATTTTGTTCTGGCCTAATGAAGTTAAATTAGAATCCTTTCCTTAAGCCTAGGCTGTTGTGTAATTTGAAGAAAAAGGCTAGAGGGCGCTGTTGCTCGCTTAGTTGTAAGAGAATAAAGTTTGTTCATGTTGAAGGCGGCGGCCTAAGAATACGCTCTGTATATAGTAATTAAAATATTGTTAAAAATGTAAAAGTGTTAAAATTAGTGAACTCACTGAACCACCATCATCTGATTTGGAGATGCACAAAATTATTAGATGGTGCATCGGCGTAAGGAATTAAGGCTTTGTGAAGATTTTAGGTGTTCGATCCAAGTGTTTCGATTTCAATGGATATTTCATATTCAAGGGACAATGGAATTCCAAATAAAGGTAGGGAAATCTTAAATTAATTATTTAGTGATTATTTGTAGTACATTAGTAAGTATTTATTATTGCTGTCGTGGGTGTATTTAAATTAAATAAAATGGAAGAGAAGTTAGATAGATTGAAACGTAAACGTTCCACATTGAGATCGTCTGTTACTAGGTTAATTAAAGTGATTGAAGATAAATTAAAAATTGAAGGGGAGGAAAATTCGATTAAAGAATTACGAGAATTGTTTGAATTATTAACCGAAAAGAAAAATAATTTGAGAACGCTTGATGATGAAATACAAGAGTTAATTGATGTTAACTTAATTGAAGAAGATTGTAGTATAAGCGAAGAATACAATGACAAATGTATAATTGCTTGTAGTCAAATTAAGCAGTTTCTAGGTGCGGTTACCGCAGTACCGCCAGCGAGGAATCCCCAAAGTTCTGATTTAAACCAGTCTAGTGGTAATGGAATTTTGCATGTAAGTTCCAGTTCTAGTGGGAGTAGTACGCTGAAATTACCAAAATTAATGATTGATAAATTTTGGGGAGACCCCAAACAATGGAATGAATTTTGGAATAGTTTCGAAAATTCGATACATAAAAACGAAACGCTTTCAAAAATACAAAAATTTGTATACTTAAAAACATTCTTAACGGGACAAGCTTCGAATGTTGTGTCAGGCTTTGAGTTAACAGAAAGTAATTATGATAGTTGTGTAGCATTACTAAAGGACAGATATGGTCGAAAAGACCTGATCATTAATTCATTCATGAATAAAATTCTCAATTTAGAAGCCGTTAAAAATTCTGCTAACGTAAAGGCTTTACGTAAATTATATGACGAATTAGAAGTTTCGATTCGTAATTTGGAAACTTTAGAAGTAACTTCTGGCTCATATGGACATTTATTAATTCCAATATTATTAAAATTAATTCCGGACGATTTAGTTTTGGAATTTAATCGGCAAAGAGGATCGAAAGATAAAG